TATATATATATGTGTATATATATGTTTTTAAATGAGGGAGGCAGGCGGTAAAGTGGAAAAGCATTAGGAGTCCGCCTCGTGGTGGGCCGCTCGCCATGTCCTGCCTCAGCAGCAGCCGACATTCTGACTTTCTGCAGGGCCACGTGTTGCTCGCCCTGTTGAATGGCCCCTAAATTCTAGCACCCACTTCCTGCAGGAGCGGCCTCCCGCGCCTGCGCCCGCGCTGGAGGGCATTTAGGCACTGGGGTGACTATTTCGAAATAAGTTTTGTTTTAATATTAGCGTTTAAGCCCCAAACTTGAGTATTTATAAATAATACCCATCCTGGTAAAGTTTAAAAACTCATTTAAAAGAGATCCGGATTAGCACACGCATTTATTCTTAGTGACTGGACAAAAGCAAGTACCTGAGCTTGCTCTTAGAACCTAGTATATGGAACTTAATCTTAAAATCTCATCATCTCAGTCAGTATTGCCGATTGAATTCTGATATATAAGCTCAAGGCTTCCTTGGTGTTTAGTCTCAGAACAGTCACCCCTGCCACCGCAGGTCAAGGGTGGGTCCCAGGTCAGTAGATCTTTGGTGCAGCAGAACTCCTATGTCACCGGCTTGCTCCCCTTAGCAGCATATTTCAGTAGATGCATCTGGCCCCCCACTCTAGTCTCTGGCGAGTCCTCCAGTAATTGGAAGGCATCTGTCACTACGAATGCCAGTAGGTAGAGACTGGAACTGAGTCTTTAAAATGCACATCAATCAGAGAGCTGGCAATCTGGAAAATGAGGGCTTAACATCCTAAAGAAAACGCTGTAACCTTTCATTTCCAGCTGCCTTTTTATAGTGAGTTGAACAAAGACAGTTGGGCAGTGAGCAGGCCTGGGCAGTGAGCAGGCCTGGGCGTGAGCAGGCCTGGCCACTGGCAGGAGATTGTGATGTCCAGTACTTGTGCTACTTTTTGCCCTCCTCGATGCCTGGCCTCAGGCTGGTCCCGGTGTGCTGAGGCTGATCTTCAGGTAGTGCTGGCTCCCTGCACTCTTCCAGACATGTTCTCGGGCTGGAAAATTAATGCAAAGCAGACTAACCCATGAACTATGTGTGTGTAGATTTCCTACTATACCATCTTAGTGTCTCATCCAATCTCCTCCCCCTCTGCAGCTCCTGGCACTGTCACCCCCTGCATCTCTGGCCTACACTTCAGTTAGACACATAAATAAATAAATCTTAAAAAAAAAAAAGAGAAAACCCACTTATGCTGAGTCTGAATCAGTCACTCCACAGTTTAAAATGGAACTGCAAAATTCATCTATTCAGTATGGTAAATTCTTGTAAACATTAAAAATACTAAAATAGATGATTCCAGATGAGTCACTGAGCTGAAAGTTAACCAGTGTCATACTTTGGATAGAGTTCAATCTTCTTGATATAAGGGAGCTCTGCTGAAGCAGCTTGCTAGTTTATAGAAGCAGCTGAAGACCGTGAACATCAACTAGTGAGTTGCGAACTTATGATTAGATGGGGAAATAGTGTAAACGTGAAAAATATTCCTTTGGTTTCCACACCTCCATCTTCTCACTAAAATAACCTCCCGTGATATCTCATAATCCTGACTGAAACGGGCATCTCTGTATTGTGTTATTAGAGACCATCTTTCCTTCCCCTTGGGCTATTTGCTGGGGCCACTCTTCAGGTCTTCACCACCACAGTGGTCTTTCCCGAAACTTGATTTTCCATTTTTCTGAGCTACCTTCCTCTCCACTGCCAGGATTACTCTCCAAAGGCAGACTAGTCAGTCGTGTCTGTGGTTGCTCACTAGGATGTGAAGTAGTGGGAAGACTGTAAGGGGTTGGTGCCCCAGAGTCACCTGCAGTAGCCTGTCTGTGAAGGTGACCCATCATGGTGCATGCTTCTTACTAGCTAGTCTTTAGTCGCCACCCACCATGAACTGGGCCTGAGACTCAGTTTAGCTAATGGGATGCAGTGGAAGTGATTCTGTGCCAGTTCCAGGCCTCAGCCTTTTGCATTCTTGGGGTTCTTGAGTAGCCTTAAAGGTCAGGACTCTATGGAGAGTCCTTATGGAGAAGGAGAGGCCCGGAGGCTTCACGGAGAGGAGCAGGTCCTGCTTCCCCAGCAGCCCACCTGAGTTGAACCATCTAGCTGTCCCACCACACAAGTTAATAAGGCAGTGAGGCCATTTTGTGTGTTCCACTCTTTAATGTTGGGGAGGAATACTGGGATGAGGGCAGAATTCACCAGAGAGTGGAGAATAGAGCAGGTGGATTTATTGAAACACCCTGCTAAGAGAAGCAGTGGAAGAGACAGAAGTCTGTGCCTGCAGGAGTATTTGAGGCTCTCTTATACTTGGCTTTTGCGACTTTCTAACCTGGGGCACTGGTTTGCATTAGTTATCTGCTGGGGTCTCTGGTCTCCTGCACTGGCCTCTGACACAGAAACCTGTCCTGGCTTCTGCTTCTGCATTCCTGGAGCTGGGCTGGTTTTTCTGGTCAAGGTGGTCGTGGGTCTTTTGGCCTTGTCCCCAAGGCAACCGTATCAATTCCTTTAACCTCTCATATCTGTCTACTAGCAGAAAGGTTTTCAGTCCTATTAAATTATGCCCCAGCTCACCCCTGACACCATTTGATTAACTACATGAAGCACCTCAAATGAGACAAATGGAAGAACCACCTAGCTGAGCCCCATCAACCCAAAGAGTCCTGAGAAAGAACATATGGTAGTTTTAAGTGACTTAATTTGGGGATGATTTGTTAAGAGCAATAGTTAGGTAGGAATCGGTTAGCAAACCGATTCAGACCACGGCTCTGCTATTTTCAGTGTATCCTTAAGTCCAGATCATCTAACCTTCCTTCCTAAGCTTCCATCGCTTCTGCAGAATGAAGATTCATTCATCCATTCAATAAACATCTGTTGGACATCTGGACAATAGGCCAGAGGTGACACAGGTGATTAAGTATTGTTGGAACCTGGCAAAGATGCTCAGTGTATGAACTTGACATTATTGTTATCTTGGTCATTTTGTGTGTAAACAGTCTTATTAAGGTAAGAGTCTGTTCCTTTCTTCAGTTTTGTTCAAAATGGCAGTGAGGGGGTGGGGGGGCTACCCCTCCCTGGTGGCGCAGCAGGTTAAAGCACAACACTATGAAGCTATCTGCAGCCATTTCAGCACGAGTTCGATACCTAGCCCTCCCCTGTCAGCTGCTGCTCCCCTTAGAAGTGTATTTCAGTCAATCTACCTGTTTTGTTCCCCACTCTGTCTCTGGTGAATTCTCTCACTGCCCCTGCACCTCTGGCCTGTACCCCAGTTCTGTATGCATAAATAAATAAATCTTGAAAAAAAATCCAAAGTGGCAGTGGGGTTCAGGGGCCTAGGTGCAGGGGATGTTGCATTTAAAAGAAATGCAGTGACTCTTCAGCTGAAGAGCATATCAGTGAACTGAAAGATGTAATCAAATAATTTAATCAGAATACAATGGAGAAATAAGGAGATAATGGAGAAAGGTGAGGAGACATAGAATGTGCTATGAGAGGGTCAAACCTCCTCTGTCCCAAAGGCAGGAAAGAAAATAGGAGTGTATTGCTCGGGGTTCTGCAGAGAAACCAGTAAAAGGTATCTAAGGGGAGATTTGTTGTAGGAATTAGCTCCCAAGGTTTTGGAGGCCAAGAAGGGCCACGATCTGCCATCGGCAAGTTGCAGACATAGGAAAGCTGGCGGTGTAAGTCATTCCGGGCTCGGAGGATGGGGGTGGGAGGTGGCTGATGGTATAAGCTCAGCTCTGAGAACCAGGAGATGAGGTCTAGGGGAGGAAATGGATGTCTTAGCTTAGGCAGAGGTAGAGGTCATTTGTGCCTCCTTTACCTTCCCTTCCGTGCTGGTACTTAAAGTATTGGGTGGTGCCTCCCCACCTTCTGAAGGATGTTCTCCTGTTCTGGCCACCAGCACAGTGCTAAGGAAACCCCTTCACAGACACAGCCAGATGCTAGGTTTTGCCAGCAAGCTGGATATCCTTTAGTCCTGCAGGTTGACTCGTAAAATAAACTATCACTGGAACAAACATTTGTAGAGATGGAAAGTGCCGAAGTTTTCCCAGAACTGATGAAAAGTATGGTTTCAAAGATGCAGTAATGCATTCCATGCGGGATCAATGAAGAGAACTGCCCCCACTAAAGTCAAACATTAGAACACCAAAAACAAAGAGATCTTGGAGGCCTGTTTCAAATGATTGACTGTAATTTATAACAGTGATAGAATTATTCAGACTTTCTACTTTTTTGGATTATTGTTTGATCCAAAACAAATGGATTTTGGATTTACTGTTTGCTCATTGTGCTTTTCTAGGAATTTGCTCTTTTCATCTATGTTTTCACATTGTTGGGATATAGATTTCAGTTGGAAAATTTAAAATCTTTTCTGCAGCAGTGTATAGTTATCATCGCTGTTTTTCATTCTGGTTCCCCTCCCCCTTTGTATCAGTCTTGAAAAATTTCAATCTTATTCCAATGACCCTCTTTGTTAAATGTATTAATTTTGCTCTTCTATTTATTATATCCTTCCTTCTACTCATTTGTCTTTATTTTGCTTTTTTCTGTTTTACTTCTGAATATTGCTGTTTGGCTCATTAAACTTTTTTTTTAAATATGCATTTCCTGTAAATACTGCTTTAGCCATATGCTACAAATTTTCGTGATTGGTTCATTATAATTTGATTCCAAATTTATTCTAGTTTCTATTATGTTTGCTTCTATGACTCACACCTTGTTTACATCAATGATAAAAGTTGATGGGTTGCCTCTCTGCTTCCAGTTGCTGCTTTTAAAGCATTATTTCCTTCTCTTCCTCTTTGAAAACTCATAGTCACCCATTACTGCCTGGTAACATCAGATTTTGCTCTAGGAAGCACAACAGCAAAGTGCTGTTGATCAAAATGATTTTGGGGCTGACTCAAGCTGGCGAGCCAGATTTACTGTTCTGATGTGTTTTTGTGGCTTCCACCAACTTTAGCTCTGTTCTGTAAGAGCTGACATGGCCTTGGTGGCATCATGACGTGTGTCAGGTGCAGGGGGCTCATTTTAATTTGTAGATACTCAACAGATGTGAAGGTTGGTGTGTTGGTGGGTAGCTGAAGGAGTGAGCAGAGAATGGAGACCAAAGCTGAAGCTTTTCATGTCAGAACCCAAATTAAGCAGTTCAGTTCGACTGTTCTTTCTTGGGTCCCCGAGAACAGAGGAAAGTTAGGTGCTGGAGGGCAAACTGGAGTCTGTTTGATCCAATGTCTTCTTTAACAGCTGAGGATTCAGTTGCCAATGCTTACCATTCAGGAAGCTACAAAATCAATCGATTCCATTTATTAAAAAAAAAAAAAAGAAACCTTTTTTGTGTACCTCTTGTATGCTAGATATCTGAGTGCTGGGGATAGTGTATTTAGTAAACCAAATAGTGCCACCATGGCGTTTACATTCGAGGTGCAGAAGATCAGGTAAATACATAGTGCCACCTGTTGATAACTGTTAAGGAGTGTTGCGTTGTTTTATAGAGGCTCTCAATGAAGAGGTGACATTTGAGCAGGGGTCTCCCTGAGGGGAGTAGACACTAACAAACAATTGCAATACTAACCCACAGTCTCTGACTTCAGAGACGTTAAACTCCTGGGAGACTGAACATTGGCCAGGGCAGAAATGCACAAGTGTGGGAGGCCAGCCTGAGGACCACATGGCCAGCTTCGTGGTGGAGGGGTCTCTGGTATTCACAGGAGGATGTGAAGGTCATTTAGAGATGGAGGTGGGAAGAATGGAAGCAACTTCCATTCTTGTTGGGGGTGTGAGGTCCAACTGGTCAGTAACTGGAGAAAAGGTAGAAGGATCTAGTGTCAGCTAGAACACAAGAAGCCTTTCATGGAAGCAAATGGACGAGTGGCTTGGATCCGATGAGACTCCGATTGTCCATGAAGCAGTGTTTAATGGGAGGTTAGTTTGCAGTTGATGTGCTGGCCAGGTTCCTCAAGGAGTTCCAGCTGAGATGATGCCCTCGGCAGGGGTTCTGAGGAGGCGCTTCAGCCTGGGGCTTTGAAGCCACATGCAGTGGGGCCTTTTCTCTCTGCAGATCTCACCGTTCACCTGTAGCAAAGCTCACGCACTGAAGCGTCTATTCCTCTTTTCTGTAGCCCTGCCCATGGTGCACTGTGTCATTTGGTGTAAATTAAGCCAGCAGTTTTTATTCAGGGCAATGTTAACCCACCGGTGGAAATCCAATGTGCTGTTTAAATTTCAGCGACCAGGGAGAGCCCCAGGACAGCAGGTTTCAAGAAACCACCACAAGATGGCGGTACTGCACAGCCCTGTTGTGGACCTGGGACTCCTGTGTCGAAATGGACTCGACCCTCTTCTCAAACGTGAAAGAAACCTTGTGACCTCCTTTGGCAGTGAGCGACACGTACATGCAACACTTCTTCACACAGACACTGGAGACTGAGGTGCACCTGAGGAAGACCACCCTGCTCCTTGCCTTCTGGGTGTAGCTTCTGAAGCTCGAATTTCACCAGGATTATAGGGTTCAGTCAATGAATGCCCTTGCTGTTTGTGTTCCTTATCTGTACTCCAGAGTGCTTGATTATATCCATGCCTGTGCTAGTGCGTGGCAGACAGACAGACAGACAGACAGACAGACAGACAGACAGACAGACAGACAGACAGACAGACACAGACACACACACACAGCTTCCCTAAAGGGCAAATGAAGCCACTGTCCTCTCTTTTGGGTAGCTTGAGACTAAGTGGTCAATTTCCACATTAAATGAGGGCAGAGAGAACTGTGTGTGTGTGTGTGTGTGTGTGTGAGAGTGTGAGTGCGTGAATGAGAAAGGGGGAACAATCGATTTGGGGGTGTCAACCTGTGAGGTTCCCAGCCCCCGCATGGGGCTCCTGTGAGTCCAGCTGTCAGTGGGGAGTCCTCTGAGCACTCTTTCCAGAGCCCGACCTCCAGGGCTGAGTCTGATGTTGGGCTTGGCCAGAATCTGGTCTGACGCCAGGGGGCGGAGATACAGGGAGGGTCCGGGAGGCCCTCAGCACAGTCCGGTCAGCAGAACTGGAGCTGGCGGGGGCCTGCGCCTTCTTGTCTGGGGGCTGGCTGTGGCTGGTAGGCCGAGGCGTGGTCCCTGCAAATGAGCCAAGATAACAGTGAGAACAGAAGGTTTTGTTATGTCCCATTTGGTGATGTGAGTATGCTTAGGTCACTGGGGCACCTCTGGGGCACCTTGGCTTGGCCTTGGATCCACAGATGAGCCCCATGGGCTGGCCCTTGGCTTCTTCTTTTTTTTTTTTTTAAAGATTTATTTATTTATGCATGCATGCAGACTGGGGTGCAGGCCAGAGGTGCAGGGAGGTGAGAGGCTTCACCAGAGACAGAGTGGGGAGCAGAACAGGCAGATCCACGAAGTACACCGCTGAGGGGAGCAGCGGGCGGTCAGGAGAGGTCTGCTGTGTGTCATGTGGTCACCTCTGGGGTGGGGATCGAACTGGCACTGAAGCAGCTGCTGCTAGCTTGCAGTGCTGTGTCCCAACCCACCGCCACCAGGGAGGGCCCGGTTTATTCTTTTTTTAACATGTTGTGCTTCACATAGCTGAGGATGGTTGGCACTCTGACTTCCATTCCGCATCTGAAGATACAGCTGATCCCACAACATGCCCCCTTGAGGCTTTTCTGTATTGTAAAAAGTAATCACGAAGTCAGATTCACCTTCCGTGGTGAGCTGGAGCTGGGTGATGTTATTTGAGCTGCCTCTGCTTGTGTCCTCCGAGTCTCTGTCTGTGGTTCTGCCTCTGACAGACTTGTGGTTCTTCTCATCTTCACGGAGCTGTAGTGAAAAATGAACTGTTGGCCTGGGTGAGGGAAATGGGTGAGTCTCACCGCCAGGGATAGTGAGGCTCTTGGCAATTACCTTAAGTAGCCTGTTACTGCCCTCAGGACTCATCAGAGAGGGTGACCCAAGACTCAGCTTTGCACAGCATTTCCAGGCCCCTCTGGCCAGTGGAGGGTAGAAACCCTACACTCTATTCTAATTTGTTTTGTTTTGTTTTGTTTTGTGACTTGGGGAAGAGCTCAGGGAGATTAAGGGAGAACACGCCAGTGGGACCAGTGAGGCCGAGGAGACTGGTTCCTGAAGAAGGGGTAAGGACGCAAGGAGGAAATGCCCGGAGGGGGGCAGGGTATGCCCTGTATCTCAAGTGAGGTGGGGTGGAAGAGGGCAGTCAGAAATCCGGGGGCCAGCCGATGTTGAGAGGCTGCCGTGTGTGAGGGGGCCTCAGAAGACTTCTTCAGCAATGGGGCACTAGCAATTTGTTGTTTTGACAACACATTTCTTTTGGTATTTATAGTATTAGTTTTAATCTGTGGGGCTTATTGTGGGTACATTGCGTACTGCTTTCATTATGTATGAACATGGGTGAATCCTTTGAATTTCTCCTGTTCGTTGGCAAATCCCTCAACATTTAAGCCATTATTGTTAGGCACCTCTAGATACCCTCAGAATATAAATGTGAGGCCGCTTCCTGTAATACAGATCTTTTTGGATTTGGTTTAGGAGACAAAGCCATTAAAGAGTACAATAGTTTTCACAGAGCAGATTAGCAAAAAACAAAACCAGCACATCCTTTTACCCCCTAGACTGAAACTCTCGACACACTGACTTACTGCTTGGATTTTCTTTCTCAGCTGTGCATTCGCTCGAGAGAGGCTTTTGGAAACTGAGTTCAGGTAGTAGATTGCCAGGCTGCAAGAGAATAGGGGACCCTGTGGCTCCAGGACTTTGGAAAATGACAAGAGCCAAATGCATCAAGGGGGCTTCTTGGAGCGGCACTGAGGGTTTGCTTGTGGGCAGGGTGGGGTGGGAGGGTGTCCCCACTTCAGTGGAGAAGGCCCTGGACATCCCTGCTCTCTCTGTGTTATATTGGACTAGGAAATGATGGACTAATTTCTAGCTCTGTGTGCTCAGCAAAGCTGGTCTAACAGATCTAGCCTCCTTCTGGGCAATCAGAGGGAGGGGGCATGGCAGGGCCTGCAGGCTGCAGAAGTTGCTGCTGCTTCCTGGGCTCCTGCCTGGTACCAGGTGTATGCCTGCCCCACACCACCATGCTTTTGATGAAGCAGAAAGGGTGACCTCCCCCCCACCCCCTTTATAGATCAGTATCCTGCTTTCCAAAAAGGCTCAGTGATTTCCCGAAGGTCACCCATCCGTCAGCACTCCTGGGAGCCCACACTGGAAGCCAAAGCTCCAGTCTCCAAGTGCTGGGAGAAGCTCGCGCCGGCCCCAGCTAACTCACAACATCAGCAGGATGGCTGGGATGATCAGGCCTGGGTTGGCGAGGAAAGCAAAGATCTTGCCCAGGAAGGTCGGGAAGTCGTTTTCAATGGTCTCATAAATGACGTCATACATTCTGTTTTTCCCACTGGAAAGAGGAGGGGACAGGTTAGCGCAGACGAGCTTACATGGCACACACAGTGCTCCAAAGCTGCCACCGACACTGCTTTCCCGGAAGCTCCAAGCTCTGCTCCAAGTCGAGTGCCAGTAAGAACGGCCCCTCGAGCGGCTGCCGCTGTGGCCGGGCCTGACAGCTGGGTCGGTGCCCTGGCCGGCCAGTCTCATGGCCCTCACTACACTGGCCTCTTGGGCTGACATCTTCCTTAGCAAGAAGAAATTGGGTTTTCTTCTGTAGGCTCATTGGAGGAAACTGTGTGGGGTGTGGCTCTGAGAAGAGCATGGAGCTTCCCCTAGCCGGGAAACAGTTGACGGGATGGACAACCTCATGGTCCCCCTCAAAATACTCCACTTAGTCTTCAGAGTCTAATTCCGGGAGACTGGAGGGCCTAGGACAGGCCCCGGACAGTGCCTACTGTAACGAATTACCACATGGGTGGTTTAAAACAATGCAAATTTATTCTTTCACAGCTTTGGAGGCAAAAGGTCTGAACTGGTTTCACAGAGCTCCTCTCCCTTCAGAGGCATACTCTGTTCCTCTGTCTTTTTTTCAGCTTCTAGAACTACTTTCGTGGTACTCCTGGGCTCACGGCTCCCCCCTCCCTCCTCAAAACCAGCAGCAGCACAGAAGCTTCAAGTCTCTCTGCTTCCATGGTTACATCATTTTCTGCTCTTTTATAGTCAGGTCTCCCTCTGGCTTCCTCTTATAAATTCACCTGGGGCTTAGAGCCCTAATCACAAGATAATCTCCCATCTCAAGATCTGAACTGAATCCCATTGGCGGAGACCTTTTTGCTATGTAATTAACATCTGTAGGTTCCAGGAGTCAGGATCTGGCAGCTCTGGGAGCCATTATTCAGCCTACCACAGCCGCTCTCTGGTTCCCAAGGATTCATGTTCATCCCACTTGTATAATACATTCATTCTCTCTCCCAAAACTCATCCCACTGCAGCAGCAACTCAAGGTCTGAAATCTCACCATCTAAATCAGATACAGACAAGACTCGGATATGATCCATCTCGGTGTACTGTGCTATTTCCATCTTACAGGTAACAAACCTACACTGTACACAGGAAATGAAGTAACTTGCCCAGGGTGACCCAGCTGGTGAACGACAGCTGTCTCGAGAATCAGTGCTCTAAATCAGGGGGCTGGCCAATTCTATCTGAAAAGGGACAGGTATGAATATTTTAGACTTTGCGGACCAGATGGTCTCTGTTGGGTACAACTCAGTTCTGCTACTGTGGCTAGAAAGCAGCCGTAGATTATACGTCAGTAAACGGGCATGACTTTACTCCAATACAGCGTTAATTACAAAATAAGGTGGTGGTCTGGGTTTGGCCCAGACCACCAACATTTAACCTCCCCCCCACCATTCACAGGCACACAGTCCAAGACCCCTGTGAATGCCTGAAGCTGGGGATAGTATTGAACCCCACATACAATATGCTTTTCCTAGGCATCCACAATTACGATAAAGTTTAATTTAAAAATAAGGCACAGTGAGAGGCGAACAACTGCCTGACTTGTAATCTACAACATACTGTGATAGAAGTTACGGCAGTGTGACCTATTACACGGGATATTTTGAAGCCGTGGCCCCCACAGGGGGCTGAAGCTGTGGAGAGCAAAATCGGTCTCGGGAGGGGACGCTGTCTGCTGTGTTGTGCTGCTGGTCTCAGTGGGGTACCCGACCTGGTCCGAACCCTCAGTTCCCTTCCTGCAGAAGTCAGTTTCTGTGAGGTGAAGGGTCTGATTTGAGCACCCAGCATAAACCAGGTGGGTATAAAGCAGGAAAAAAGGAAGCAAAAATCATATCCTCAGCCAGCTGGGAGAGATAGACAACAAACAGGATAAATAAGCCCAGGGGTGGTGCGCTGGGTGGTGGCAGAACAGGCGGGACCAGCATGGTGCGCGTGTCTGAGTGCCCGACATTTTAATTAGGTTTCCAGGGAAGACCTCACCGGAAGGGGAGTTGTTGAGCCAAACACCTCCCAGCTGTCTGGGTGTCTGCCAGGGCCTCTGGGGTGGTGGGCGGAGCAAGGGTGGGCCAGGCAAGGCCCGTCCACTCAGTGACCTGCCTGGGGCCAGGTGAGCAGCCAGAACAGAGGTGCACAGGTGGTTGCACCAGAGCCCGGCCTCCAACCTCGTAGGGAAGGAGCCCAGACGGCTTCCACCATGTCCAGCATATGGTTTTCCCTTCAGCCCGGGGTCCTGGGCCTATTCCCACCGACATCTTCCACTCTGGAACTCGTGTCCCTCTTCCCTCGGTCATCCCGATCATGGATCATGCTCTGCTCTGCCCTGCACTCTCCATAGGTGGGCTCTGAGCCCCGAGGCATTGCTCTGATTAAGCTTCCAGGGCTTTCATCTCTTAGGTCCCTTGTGAACAGAGAGGTGCCAGAGCATTTCCCAAAGTGTACTGGCTGCAGGAGAGTGAGGCCCTCGGCACACTGATGAAGGAAGTCCGTGCTCCCAGGCCAGGTAGGAGCACTGGCAGTGACTTAGTTTCACCGGAGCCCTGGCCTGGATGGGTGTTACATCCTGAGGAGGTCTGCAGTCAAGGAGGCAGGGGTTACGGGCTCACCCTTGACCTCCTATGGCACAGTCCTTCCTGCCGCTCCTGAGGCATGTGCTTCAAGCATTTTAAAGTGAGAAGGCGGCAGATGTGACAGGTAGCAGGTTCCAGCTGCCTTTTTCCGGGCAGGAGGAGGGCTTTGTTTTCAGAGGGCCTCGCATTTGGAAAGAGAGCAGTAAATGCAGTGTTTCCTAGTCTACCTCCTGGCATGACTATCTCTACGCAGTGTCCAGTCTCCTGGACTGGCCTCCTTATTCCCTGAACCCCAGTGCTGGCAAGTGCCCTGTAGAGTGTGGGGCAGCAGTCAAGAGTCTCAGAAGCTGTTTAATATCTAAATGGCACTGGAAAACCATCTATGGCCATTTCATCTTCAGAATACCCACTCTGCCCACCACTCTTACGTATCTGAAGGAAAGGTAACCCAGGGCTGTGGGTTATTCATGTTAAAGTGGTGCTGTCCACTATGGTAGCCACTAACCACTTGTGGCTATTAAAATTAATTAAAATGAAATAAAATTAGAAGCGCAGCTTCAGAGTTCTTGGGTCAAGTACTCAACAGGCTCATGATCTGGGGCCCCCCTGTACTGGCTGCTTGGCCGGTGGCTACCACGGGGGATGGCACAGCACGGAGCATTTCTATCCTCACAGGAAACTCCACTCAACGGCGCTAATGATTTGCCCAAGCTCGTCAGCCTTTTGCAGATGAACGACCCCAGATCCCGGATCCCAAACCTGTGCTCCCTGAGCAGACAGCCCCCCAGAGACAAGCTTCCTCTCGTGGCCGAGGCTGCGCACCTGAATGGCCCGCAGTCAAAGGAGGGGGGGAGGGACATGATGGTGTAGGCCACGGGCAGCAGGCTGAGGAAGAGCACCAGCAACAGGAGGCCCATGTAGAAGTTGTTGGATCGCGAGGCTTTGAACACACGCTCGTGGGGGACGTTGCTGCTCATCACTGCCCAGCACTGGAAGTACATGGAGGTCAGCAGGCGCAGCACGTTGATGCCCACCAGTCCCGGGGCGTAGAACGAGCCCATCCTAGGACAAATCACATGTGCGGTTGGCCACAGGCAGGGGAGGCCGGAGAGCACAGCAGAAGGAAAGGGGGCTGACAGGTCGTGGCTTGAGGCCCAGCTGCCTTCTCTGCCCCCCCCCCCGACCGGCCTCCACTGCACCTGCATAATTACCACCAAGCCGTAACCATCCACTCTGAGCAGTCGTGCCTCAGACGCGGGCCAGGCTTTACCGCTGCTTCA